CTGGACACTCCCACTTTCCAGCATGTGGAAGGCTTGCTGGCCTACCAGCCGCCTGAAGCAGAAAGGCTCAAGCTTGGTCAAAGGCCTGACCCTGATCCACCAAGGGGCCATGAGGACCCACCCCCTGCAGGTGAGCCTGACCCTTGTGAAGCCTACAAGATGGCCTTGAAAAGCCTGAAGAAGGCCATCAGTGCTCTCAGCACCAGCCTGGACAAAGGCTCTGTGTTGAAAGAAGCTATTGCCCAAAAGCAGAATGATAGTGACCCACATGTCAAGGCCCATATGGACAGCCTGAAGCAAGGCTTGGTTGAGTATGGCAAAAAGAAACAGGAGTGGCTAAAGAGGTTGGGCACCTTCAGCCAGCAAGTTGACCCAGCAGATGCTCCAGGCTCGCTTGAAGAGGTCAACAAGGTGAAAGCTGCATGTGAGGAAGACCTCAAGAGCCTGAACAAGGCCTGGGGACCAGCAAAGCTTTGGGCCAAGAATGAAGGGATATAGCCTGAACAAGGCTTTGAACAAGCACTGGCATTGGATAGCAGCCTGTGCAAGGCCTGTACAGCTGGATGGCAGCAGGATGAAAAAAAGAGCTGGACTTGGGTGGTGGGGGTAGGGGAGAATAGGGGACTAATGAAAATTGGCTCTAGATGTATGATATTTTTTTATCTGCAGCCATCTTTAGCTCAAGCATGGGTGCTTTCAAGTTTTTCCTATGGTTGCTGTTGTCAAGCCTGGATAAGGCCTTTGCATCACCTAAGAAGAAAGCCAAGATTTGCTTGGCAGAGGCTGTTTGGGCTTCTCCTAGTGCAGAAGACCAATTGAAAAACCAAGAGGAATTGGTCGAAGAAATTGAATCCTTGCATAGGAGAAACCAGCTCCCAGCCACAAAAGTGGTGAAAATGCTCACCAAAGCCAAAGCTGGTGGCCTCAGGGTCAAAGCACCAACCAGCCAAAGCCTGAACAAGGCCAATGAAGATGCTGCACTAGGTGGCAATGCAGCCAGGTCGATGAGGAGGTGGCTCAAAAAAAACAACACATGGTGTCAATTGTATTGGGCAAACATACCATTAAAAAATCCAAAAACACAAGAAATATCACCCAAGCCATTGCCATTCTTGCTTCCCCATGAGTGGTTGGAAGGCTATTTGATGCAGCCAGGAGCATGGCAAGATTGTATGCCTGAAAGAGGCTCAATGCTGGCCGCAAAGTTGGCCCAATGCTGTGCAGATTGTGGTGAGCCTGCACAAGGCATGGTGCCTCTAGGTATTCATGGTGATGGAGTGCCTGTGCAAGGCAGAATGAATCAATCTAGCTTGGATTTCATCACGGTCAACCTCTTGGCCTCAAGGCATTCACAATTGAGAGTCCCCCTTACTTGTGCTGATGCCAAATTCATTGCAGGGCCAGAGACCACACAGGCCATCTTGGAAGTTCTTGCTTGGAGCCTGCAACATTTGGTATTGGGAATGCAGCCTGCATTAAGGCATGATGGGGCTCCTTTCGAAGAACCTTTTCGATTGACAAGAATTGGCAAAAGCCTGTGCAAGGCTGTTGTAGTTATGATGCGAGGAGATTGGGATTGGAATGTAAAATGGTATGGCTGTCCTATGCACAATGTCAAAGTAGGAATGTGTTGGCTGTGCTCCTGCAAGCCAACAGAGTGGAGATGCCAAACATTAGATCAGAGAAAGAGCCAAAGCCTGGACAAGGCCCAATTTCTGGCAAGCCTGGAATTGAGAAAAAAGGCCATAGCACCACTTTTCCATGTGAACCCAATTACCAACCACACCATAGTCCCTGATTGGATGCATGTCATGGATGAAGGATGTGGTGCAGCCTGTGCAGGGCAAGTTTTGAACGCTTTGTTGCCCTGCTATGAAGGGAAGAAGCAAGAAAAAGCAAGCAGATTGTGGGCACATATCCAGACTATCTACTCAGAGTTGGGTGTCCCAGCCAGTGAGCAATTGCCCAAACTCACTCTGCTTGACATTGTAAAGCCTGGGAAGGCCCCTGAACTTGACACTAAAGCAGCGACATGCAGGTATTTCTGCAGGCAGGGGATTTTGAGCACTTTGACAAGTGCACACAATTTTGACACAGGCACCAGCCTGCAAAAGGCAATCCACAAAGTTGCCACCTTCACCACCCAAGTCTATCAGCACATGGAAGCTTTCAATGGCAGGAAGCTGGCCAAATATGGAAGGGCATTGAAGAGCCAGTACATGGCATTGGAATCTCACATTCAAAGAGAAGATGAAAATGATGTTTGTTCCTGGCATGCCAAGCCTAAGTGGCACTTGGCTGAGCATATTTTTGATTTAGCCTGGGAAGGCCACAACCCTAAGGATTTCTGGAATTATAGGGATGAAACATTTGCATCCTCCATGCAGCAGTGGGCACTCAGAAGGGGTGGGAAGAGAAATGCAAGCAGTGAAGCAGAGAAAATCCTCCTTTGTTTCATGAATGACACACCCCCTCTGAGTGTCAACTTGCCCAGCTCAGCCTGAAGAAGGCCCAAATCCGATGTCCAGCTTCAGCCTGAAAGAAGGCCATGCAACCATAGGTACAATATGTTTCACCTTGTATCACCCAGTAGTGCCAAGGAAAAAGATGCACATGCTGATTTGCAGAAGCCACTTTTCATGGCTTCCCAGAAGCGCTTCTTGGATTCCAAGAAGCGCTTCTGGGAAGCCACTTTTTGTAGCTTCTAGAGTTCAAAACCCAGAAGCCACTTTCCATGGCTGCCAGCCTAAAATCTTAGCTTCCACCAGAAGCTATTTTTAAAAGTGGCTTCTCGGATCCTTAGGGTTGGGAAAGTCATCTTGTGGAGTGGGAATGTGTGCAGCAGAAGAGCCTCGTGCGGCAGCAGGGCTCGACCCTCACTGCCCAGGATCAGGTGGGATCCGGGAGTAATGGTAGGCACCTTTCCATCAGTGCGCTCTCTGTTGCGGCCCAAACTTTGAGACAAATCGCACACAAACTGGTCAGCTTGCCCAACTGTCGTGCGCAACTTGTCCCAAACGTCTCTCTCCCGGGGTAAATGCAAAAACAAATCATCAGCCGAGCAGCCCCTGAAACTAAAAGCTGACGGAGCCGCGTGGCAATGTTTGGCCTTCCATTCATCATGCAGCTCCTTCCATTTCATGTGGGGTGACCTGGTTGGAAACGCCAGTGTTGCTGCCTGAGACCATCGCGCCCTCCTGAATTGTTGGTGCTGCGACACAAGCGGGTGGTCACTTGGCAAGAGCCGCTGAGCCAAAGGAGCAGGTTCATTTGCCTGCCCCAGCTCAGTCCAAATGTGCTGGAGAATGTGCCTGGAGGCTCCTGCAGGGAAAGCGGCCACATCTGTTCGCAGCCCGATGAAATAGAAACGTGGCTGGAGAAGGGGCTCCCCCAAACTCGAAGGGTCCATCAATTGAACCGCTACGATGTAGCCCAAGTCCTGCAACATAGATTGTACCTTCTCCATGCACCGTTGGATGCCTTTGACGTTCTCGAGGACAAAGCATGGAGGCCGTATCTTGCCGATGCGTCGAAGAACTGCCTTGAAAATCTCAGCCTCCTTTTCCTCAAGAAGCTTGGTCTTGTTGTGAAGCATGGAAAATGGTTTGCAGGAAAACCCAGCCACATACAAATGCATAAAGGGCACTGCGCCAGCAGAGCTGACAATCACGTCGTCCATGAAAGCTTCCTCAGGCAAGCAATTCGCTTCAATCATCGTCCTGGGGGCCGGATTGATCTCGCAGCTGAAAACATGTTTGTGCAGCAGGCCCATAGAACGGAGGGCATGCACTGGAGCTTCCAAGCCACTACAATCTGTTCCAACCCGCAAAGCTGATGAGCCATTGGAGCCGTTGATGAGAAAGTTCGGCCACGCAACCTTCTCATTACAAGCTTCTGCAGCTGCGCGGATCCGCGACAAAGTCTGGGGCCCCCATGAGTCTAGCCAATGAGTTAGGAAACTAGGCAAAAGGATTGGAGACGTCATTTTGAGCAAAATGCCTAAGCAAGCAAACTCACTCTCACAGATGGTCCAACGCGTGCTGAACTTCAGTGTCAGCCACTTAACATTTGCCCTGTCCCTTGATGCTTCAAGTGGCAACATGATCTGAGCTTTGCGTGTCCATGTCTGTCAGCTGGTCCACGACAATGATGTCGGCTGCCGCAACTTGGAGAAAGGAAAGCAGAGTGCATCCACGGGGCAGCTCCAAGTTGCGAGCTCTTGGCAAATACATCCTGAAATGAGGTAGCACATTCGTGTTTTTGCTCCAAGTTGGTAGCTCTGCGCCTCCAGCGCCAAAGCCTGCAAGCCGAGGAGCCGTGGGAGCATAGGGTGCCTGTTTCTGCCGTCGCCGCTCTGCCACTGCAGCATGTCCTTGTTAGATTCCCAGAAAACTCTACCCGAAAGAACATTAAAATGTCGTAATACACAACTTTAATCCATACAAGCAACTGTGTGCCAGCGAGTTGGCACATTCTGCGCTGCAGGCAGCCGTGCTTGAAGCTCCTTGGCCTCATCCACCACCCAGGCATCCGGCAAGGCCATGTCTCAGATGCATCATTCTCATTCTCCAGTGAACAAACAACTGACTACTATCATGCTTCAACCCAAGTCTAGCTGCGCATGAAGGAACGCCAGCCAATGAAATGTGAAGAGACAAGTTAATCAAACTTTTGACCGAGAAACGGGCGCAAACACTGACCAAATCCTGGTGGTTCCGGGAGCCGCTGGGGTAAAATGAGCTCACCACCGGGTCGAAGCCACAGAAAGCCCAGGTGAAATTCTCAGTAGTGTTGTACCTCTGCTGAAACCATGAGGGCACAGCCGATGGGTGGCAGGTAAAGCGGCAAAACTCTTCTCTGGTGAACATCAGCGCGCCAGTCTCAAATGAAGACATCCCAGCCTTAACGCTTTGAGCGATTTCCTGCCGCGCCCTCCTGGCTGCATCGCTCTGAGCAAGTTGGGATTCAGCACTGGAAGCTGGAGCCGCTGAAGCCGATGAAGCCGAAACCAACGCATCATTGCCTGCTCCAGCACCATTGCCACCATGGCCTGCTCCACTGCCACCATCGTCTGCTCCACCACCATTGCCACCATTGCCTGCGCTGTCGTCAGCAGGTGGGCCCATCTCTTGTGGTGGTCCCTGCGCCGCTGCCATCTCGTCTGAGGACGAGCAAGTTGAAGACTCTGGCTCAGGGCGACCCCCAACGACACGGCGCAAAGCACCAAACATTCAGCAGCCAAACAGCAAAAAGCCAAGAGCCGCTGAGCCGAAGTGCCCTGAGAAACACAGAGCATTTGTGCGATGGACCGCTCTAATACTATTGCGTTTCCAGCTTAAACAGTTGGACGTCGGTGGACCCTGCCCGACAAACTCGACACTTGAAGTGTCCCGTCGCCCTGCCTTCTCAAAGCCAGGGGAGCAGTGACAGCAGGTGAAGCGCCAAACGCCTGGGCCTGATGGAACAGCGGAGGTTATCGTTTTTTGGGTGTGTGGGCTTGGAATAATCTCTGGGGCTACCACATTCAAAGAACAGGGGTGCTAAGCAAGGAGCCACACACACACTCTCTTAAACATCTAGTGCGGCGCTGCCTCTGCTGAAGGAAAAGACAACGATGGCAGCGGCGAAGCCTGCAAGTGACATTGGTACCACACAAACACCCCCAAGCCAGTGTTTCAATCCAAGACTGAAACAATCTGAATCAAGCTATTCAACATACCTGGCCCAATGTCTTCATGTCTTCACCCACACGACCAAATGCGGAATGATAGATGGGCTGCCTTCTGACCGCAGTGAAATAGCCGAGGAGCCGCTGAAGCCTGTGCCCGAGAGGTGGGGCCGCTATCTAATTCAAGCCAGCCAGTGGTGAACTGGTGGCCAATGAGTTGAGACTCAACAGAAAGCCAAAAGCCATCATCGGGCCAGTTGAAAAGCAAACCGCAACTTCCCTCCGAGCCTCTCAAGGGTGCCGAGGCTAGCAGCAATGGCTCTGGTGATGCAGGTCAACAGGGAAGAACATCTAGCCAGTTGTACTCAGCTTTCAATACCATTAAACAGATTAAACTTTCCAGAACTGCTGACCTGGTTTTTGGTTGCAACATGTAAATTCAAAAACAGCCGCAAAGAGCCGTTGAGCCTATAGCAACTGCCTCAGTCTCAGCCATAAAACTCTGCAGTCTGCATGCAGGCGGAAATCGAACCCTTCCAACTCTCAAGCCCGGTTGGCCTCCACACGAAGGAGCTGCAAGAAGAAACGCCTTGGCCGGGTTTCTGGCTGAACGACCTGGCATAACGGTCAATGTTTGAACTTGTCGTCCCTAACACCCTAAAAAGTAGTGTTTCCTGTTCCAGGCAACTACAAAGCTATTGAGCCCAACATGCTGCTGAAAATTTTGCTTCACCGTCCGGGAACTTCAGGCCCCGGCGGTTGGCGACGAGGGCTGCAAGAAAGGAGGCCATGCCCTGCCAGCTTTAGTGCAAATAACCCACAAAACCCATTCAATTCCCAGCTGCGATCGACCAAGCATCCCCTGACAGAGCCCTGGCCCTGGCGCCTTCTACCCAAGAAGCTGAAGAGCCGCAAAGCCGAAGAGCCGCAGCAGCCAGCCGCCTGTCAAGTGTGTCTGTGTGGGTTTGCCATGGGTTGGACATCATCTCTGGAAACGGTTGAGTGTGGCACCCGCAGGCCTCAAAAGAATAAAGTAGGCTCAACCTTTCCACAAAACATAGCCTAACATCCACACTCCCTCCACACCAGTGCCTTTGATTCAAGAAGCTGACGAGCCGCGCAGCCGCAAAGCCAATAAGCCGCTGCCTGGTGTCACTTGCTTCCAGCCAGTGAAAGGTTACATGAAAATCAAGGGCCATAGGCTGGTAGACTGGGAATCTTTTAATGAGGATTGGCTCTAGATAGGGTACACATTTTAAAAGATGCTGGAAATAAGTGATGGACTTCTCCCCACATCCGGCCTTGGGTTCGCTGATGGAGGCAGCGCACCGCAGCAGCTGCTCAAGAGAAGGGCATTGAGGGTGAAAGGAATCAAGAAAGTTGAAAACTCAGTTGGAGCATCTAGTGGGAAGTAGGAATTTGAAGCGTAGGTTGAAGTATGATGGATGGCTTGTTTTTCTCACTTTGGGGTTCCATGGGCTGATTCTCTTTGAGGCTTCAGCCTTGAACCATTGAATATCAAAAACTCAAAAAAATAAAAAATGTACGAAAATGGCGGGTAGTCATGGGTTTCTTATCACTGAATTAGACTGCTCTATGCCACAGCCACCCCACCCGCCATCAGGGTGTTATATAATCCATCACCCAAGAAAGGGTTCTGGTGAAGACCAGATTGGCTTGCATGTCCTCACTTGGACACACCCAATCTCGAATCAATCCAGTTGTACCGATTTGTCAAAGCACACCACGAAACCTGATTGATGATCCAAAATGGATTAATTTTAACATGCATGAACTGAACGTTTATTTCCAAGATGCATTAGTTTATATTAGTTCGATCCTCAGATCTTCCTGGATCTTGAACCCATCTATATTCTGGTGCTTAAAACAAACACAAACATACAAACACCTGTCCAAGCCCTGGATCCATCTTCCACCTTACACTCGTGGGTGACAGCGTCTCTTCGACCATCACACCACTCCTACGGCGGCACCGTGACATGTCCGGGGCGTCCGGACAAGAGTACGTTGGAGAAGAGCTGCTGCATCAGCGCGCCCGACCTGAGACGGGTCACAACGAACCGTGAGAACGAACGGTGTTCGAACGACTGTGACAAGACTCAGGTAATGTGGCTAGCCAAGCTGCGCTATAAGATCCACAACGTAACTATCATGCATACTATCATGCATATCATACTTGAATGCGGAAAGCCACCCTTTTGAAAAGGCTCCAACATCCCAACAATCCCATATCAAGACAGCTTTGCACTGCCTCTGCCAGCTTCGGGCTCCCTCTCCCAAATCCTCCACCTCCACATCCTGGAGGTGGAATACTTTCATTACCCCAAACCACCTCCACCTCTCCTGCAACCGACCAAACCGCCCCTCCCTCCGCATGACCTGCCCCTCATCCCCTGCTCCCCATCCCATCCCCATCCAGGTCGTCGGATTCTACCCGACCGATACCACGAAGTCAACAGTGAAGTCCAACGACCGACCTTCAGGAACCTTCCCGAACTTATTTTACATAAGTAAGGTATATATCCTGTATACTCAGTCATACTCAGACCCTTCCTTTTTGTAAGTTGACTGAACTCTCAGCACGCAGTCACCCCCCTTTTTCTCGGAGCTCATCTTGTGGCGTTTCAGTGCGGTCGACTTGGCCGGGGCACTGACCTCGGAACGTTTGAGAAGCGGAGGGCGCGAAGGGTGTGGGGGGGATGGAGGGATCGAGATCTCTAGAATGGATCGACATCAAGCAATCAGGAGAACATGTCTTTTGTATAGTCAATATACCAGTAGCCTCAAAGCCATGGAAAAAAGGGAGATCTACCAGCATCCTCACTGCCAGGTCTCTTCTTTCAAGGTTTAGGAAGGGGCCGAGTACAGGTCGAATCATTGGTGACGCGGCAGGGAGGATGCTGGTAGAGATCTCTATGAAATGAATCAACCGCCAACCGTGCAGAAGAAATGCATCTATTATAAAATAAAACACACTCAAACTTGTGATAACTTTTGTCTATACCACCGGCTCCAACTTTCATGTCATTATGTATAGCACTGTTGCTGCAATTTGGAGCACAGCTGATCTGGAACACAAAACTCCTAAACTTCTAAACGACACACATGAGGAAGTGGGGAGCCACCTTTTCACACAGAGTGGTTGAGAAATATGGCTGTAGGTCAAAACGCGGAGCCCTGCGCACCCTCCTAGGTTAACCTTCTCAGTAGTCTAGGCTGTTTATGTTCCAGTTTCAACCAGGGTTCCCCGGTTTTTTTGACGGGGTTAAAATGGAGAACTGTCCAGAAAGTCCTCTCATCCTGATTCGAACCAGTTTAGTTGAAGCATGAGACGTACTTCATCTGTGCTGAAGTTTTCTGTTCCATCTGAAATGGAACCTTGTCAGACCTGGAGGCCAACATGACAAATGAAATTGATTTCTCAGACCTCGTTGGCACAGACTGCGGAAGCTTTATGTTTACAGACTCTCGTCATAGGTGTTGGAGAACTTGAAGATCACCACAGCCAAGTCGAACAAGAACGGTGTTTGCTCACCGACGGTACAACAAAGGGTACAACTGTTTAACATTGACAAGGTTGTAAGTTGACCGTGCGTGACAAACAACGACAAACTTCTCGCTTGTACTTTCTCAAACAGGACTGTGTCAAAGGCATGAAATAATCTCATATGTAGGTTACCTCAGGGCGAACACATTTAACAAACGTCGAATCTTCATGACGCTTGGATGAATAGGCCTAATAAAGAGGGTTCAAACTAACCACACCAACCAAATCGACCAGTATACAGTATACGAGCATGGTGAGCCACACTGCCTGCGGCGAGCAGCTTACACGAACATGTGTTTCCACGCTCTTGGTGGAACATCAGGGGCGAGTGCAGCGGGTCACTGTACAGGCCTTTTGGCCCCGAAGCATTCGAACATGACCTCCAAGTTGGTAATGCGAAGACTTCACATGATTTGACAGGAACAACGCTTTCCATCTGGATCTGCGCCACGTGGAGCATCTTCAGGATTGCCATAGAGCTCCAAATATCGACGTAAGCAGCTGGAGAAGACCTCATCAACAGCAGCGGGTCTCCTGCATGAGATCAAGTGGTATGTGCAATTCAGCTCTTCCGCCAGTCTTGCAACCTCGTCTTCTGTCACCTGACATCCACCGCATGTCATAAGCACTAAAACAAGTTCCCCATCCGTGTCCAGCTTCCATCTCCTTCCGTCTACTTAAACCATGGAAAAAAACATAAACACCCAAAAGAAATGTGTCTTCAATCAAGAAGCGGTTATATAGTTAGATAGGTTAGTGAACACTCTACATAATGAGAATGAGAATCCAGTTCCAGGCACCTCAAGATCATCTAAATCTCCGTGTGTGCCCACCAAGCATCGCACCACTCTTGTGTCGTACTTTCCTTCCGCCATTCGAAGCAAATGCTCGGCCTCACGTAGGCTTTGTCGTCTTTGCTGGCTGAAGACAAACATCACCATGTGTGCACCTCTGGGTGCAGAGTTGAGGTTTTCACTCTGCAATGAGTTTCTGAAACACTTGTCTTGGCAAACTGGACTGTAGGCTATATAATAGAGAGGCGTTTCAACGTGTAAAAGTTCATGCAATGACTACACCACCCCCACCCTTGGTGTTTCACCCCCAAAATGACAGTCTTCCTAGTAGTGGCCCTGCCTCGCAAAAAGCACATGGTGATTGAATGCAAGCGCTCATTGCCCGGCGTGTCCCATACTTGCATTCTCGCCCGATTGCCGCCCTCAGTCAAAATGGCTGTTTGGAAGTCAACACCAATGGAAGCCGGGTACTCGTAGTTGCCCACGAACTGTCCCGAGGAAAAGGTTGACTGAAGAGCCGTTTTGCCTGCCATACTTCCTCCTAGAAGGAGTACCTTGACCTTAGGCTCAAATGGTTGCTGGATCAAGTAGAATACATCCTGAGCATTTAGCTTCAGTGATCCCAATGTAGTCGCTGAAGACAGCTTTTGGCTCCCAAGGACTAAGGAGAGCCAGGGGCCAAAATCCCCAGCTTGGCGAATCTTCATGAGGAGCTCTTCCACACTGGTGCCAGGCAGTAGCGAAGCTTCATAGGCCACTTGGCCCGAAGGCAGCAGTACACGGACAGGCACAGCTTCAACCATCATGGAGGTGGTTCAAAACAACTAACAACCGGCAGATTGGTCATCTTTAGTCTGTGCATTTGGATGGTACCCTGCTTTCGAACTGTAGCAAGATTGGCTGATATTGGCTGCGTTGTCCAAGTACAACCTAACTCACATGTTTGGCTGATCTTTCTTTTAGCAACCATTCTAGCTCAGGCTTCAAAAAGACTGATCAACCTTTCTCATCCTTTTTCATCTGTCATGCTCTTGGAAAGCCAAGGGAATTTATTTGGTCAGAAAACGCTGGGGCAAATTCTCTTGACCCAGCTGGACCTTCCTGGACCATCACCGTTGGAGCATGGGACAGGTTGCGAGGTGTCGTACTCTTGAAAACCGCTAGGGATCCAAGTACCTTCTCAAAAGGCATCTGGACCCTCCAAACCCACCCCAAACACCTTCTGAGAAGGTACTTGGATATTTAGGGGTATTTATCAGAGTTGAAATATGTAATCTGAACATATCTGAAATCACTACATATTTAAATCTACGTGCTTTTGGTTGCGTCGGACGTTTCCTCCAAATGATGGGATTTCTGCCAGAAGAGGGCACAAGCGAGAGGTATACCCTTGGAGTTCCATGGAGTCTCGGGTGCTTGAGAATCTTCCCCATGGAGTTGGGCCTCGTGGATCATGTCCTCCATGTTTCGCACCCTCGGAACTGCTGTAGAATATAACTTCACGAATCATTCTGATTTGAGTGGTTTTCTTGGATTGTTCATCCACAGTCTAGATGAAGCAACTTAAGAATTCTTTTGAGGGACCCGTTGCAGTGTCCAAGTTCGACCCTCACGACCACACACACAAGGCCCACACAGCATGGCTTGTGCATAGGGAACCCCCAGGGCACCGACGCTGGCTGACTTTCTTGGTCAATCTGTTGGATCACTTGCTGCTCATGTTGTCTCCATAGGTGTTGAAGAAACTGAATATCACCACAGCCAAGTCGCACAATAACGGTGTTTGCTCACCGATGGGTACAACATTCCAAACTTCATGACACTTGGAATAGGCCTATTTATTGAAGAGGGTTCAAACTAACATCAACTAACCACACCAATCTAATTAACCAGTATAGTAGCCAGTATGTTCCGAGCACGGTGAGCCACACTGCCTGCGACGAGCAGCTTACACGCACGGTTTTCCCAGGCTCTTGGTGGAACATCAGGGGCGAGTGCAGCAGGTCACTGTACAGGCCTTTTTGCCCCGAAGCATTTGAATATGACCTCCAAGTTGGTAATGCGAAGGCTTCACATGATTTGACAGGAACAACGCTTCCCATCTGCGTCCTCTTGGCTATGGGTTGTCTCTCTGCCATAGAGCTCCAAATATCGACGTAAGCAGCTGGAGAAGACCTCATCAACAGCAGCGGGTCTCCTGCATGACATCAAGTGGTATGTGCAATTCAGCTCTTCTGCCAGTCTTGCAACCTCGTCTTCTGTCACCTGACATCCACCGCATGTCATAAGCACTAAAACAAGTTCCCCATCCGTGTCCAGCTTCCATCTCCTTCCGTCTACTTAAACCATGGGAAAAAATAGAAACACCCAAAAGAAATGCGTCTTCAATCAAGAAGCGGTTATATAGTTAGATAGGTTAGTGAACATGCACTCTACATAATGAGAATCCAGTTCCAGGCACCTCAAGATCATCCAAATCTCCGTGTGTGCCCACCAAGCATCGCACCACGCTTGAGTCGTACTTTCCTTCCGCCATTCGAAGCAAATGCTCGGCCTCACATAGGCTTTGTCGTCTTTGCTGGCTGAAGACAAACATAACGATGTGTGCACCTCTGGGTGAAGAGTTGAGGTTTTCACTCTGCAATGGGTTTCTGCAAAACATTGCAAAACTGTTCTTTGCAAACTGGACTGTAGGCCATATATGATAGAGAGGTGTTTCAACGTGCAAAAGTTCATGCGAAGACTCAAGCAGCACCGCAGCACCCCCCGCATTTCTCAGGTGTTTCACAGTTTGAGAGTCGTCCAGCGGCACGGGCGCCCGTGCCTGGTAAAAGGTTCAGGCCCAAGGAGTGAAACCGTTCCTGCCCATTTGCGCCTCCCAAAGGGTCATTCTCGCCAAATGGGAGCCGGAGTTGTGATGTTCTTTGCTATGTTCAGCAAATCCAAGCCGATGGTGTCCAGGTGCTCCCCATGAAATGTTCCAGAGTAGAAGCTGCGACATAGCGTTGTCTTTCCTGACTGCACTCCTCCTAGAAGTAGCACCTTCCATCTAGCAGATGCAGGTGGTTCAGGTGGTTGCTGGATCAAGTAGAAGACATCCTGAGCATTTAGCTTCAGTGATCCCAATGTAGTCGCTGAAGACAGCTTTTGGCTCCCAAGGACTAAGGAGAGACGAAGCCAGGGGCCAAAATCCCCAGCTTGGCCAATCTTCATGAGGAGCTCTTCCACACTGGTGCCAGGCAGTAGCGAAGCTTCATAGGCCACTTGGCCCGAAGGCAGCAGGACATGGACAGGTACAGCTTGTGGCATAATGGATGTGGTCAAAGACAGAACCAAAGATACTAACTGCTACGAGTGCATTTGGATGATACCGGTGAGCAAAGTGTAGCATTGAAACTGACTGTTGTTTGCTGCAGTACCTCCCAGTTCACCCGCCAAGATTGGGTGCGTTCATCCAATCTAAGCCGCGACACTGGAAAAGAACACCGGGACACTAGTACCTCCCAGTTCGACCCCTGAAAGAAGGGAGGTGATACCAGTCTACCCATCGGTTAGGGGTCACACTCATATAGTCATATGGTACCACCTGGTTCAGGTGGTTGTTGGATGGAACATACATAGTGCGGCCTATCAACCACCCGAACTGGGTGGTGCTGGTCTCATGGGAAAGGAACTATGAGGCGCTTCTGGACTACGCATGGGGGATGATTTAAGCACTGCCATCCCTGGGAGGGGACACGAAAGGAATCCCATCTCAGCTGCTACCGCAGAAGACCACCAAAATATATTGCATGGGTACCCCGTCATGTTGGATTTGCCACTTCCAGGAACCGGAATGCGAACATCGAGTCACAAGACAGGGTGCCGAACTTGGAGGATAGGGGTGCCGATGATCCACTCACTGAATGGAACGTCCACTCAACCACCCAACTCCATGTGACTCTTGGCACTATAGCCTTCCATCATATTCATCAGGCTGGTTCTTCACGCAGCAGTTCGGGAAAATCGACCTCACCCGAGAAACCGTCCCAAAACCGGTCATGCCGGACGACTCACCGGACGTCCTGCGCGGGACTAGGGGAACTCTGGCCAACACGAGCGGTTTTGCTGGGCACCCGCCACTTGCCGCTCATGGGTCTCACTGGCAAACTTTGGGAAAAGGCCTCCAATGAAGCTGGGCCTGGAGTGAATGCTTGGATGGCTGGCTTGGGGATGCTTGGGGCCGCTTCTTTGGGGTCAAATCGAAGAGTGTCTTTTTGAGAACACGAAGGATGGCGAGAGTGACCGGAAAAGGTGCGACACAGGAAAAACCACCAACGAAAACGACCCCCCGTTCGAACCAAACCCATCATGGATGTGTCGACCTGGACCCTCTCAGTCGGGGCCGGACATCCTCCGACCCGTCGGCCTGTGTTTCCGGAGCGTGTTGGGTAGCTCCGTTCACGTGTGAACTTCCCCCGCCATCGGCTCATCCATCTGGGGACGTGATCGGCGCCCACCGGATCGACATGGGTCGGTCCACCAGGTAGGTCAACCGCATTGCCCTCTCCATGTAGGTGGAAGATGCTGGAACAAGAGAAAGTAACTCTATGTCGTGGGATTCTTGGCACGCCATTCCCTAGGTATCCAAGTACCTTCTCAGAAGGTGATTGGAGACACTATTATGTAGGTGCCACGAGGGTCCAAGTACCTGCTTCTTAGAAGGTACTTGGATCCCTAAGAATTGTTTTAATGGTCTGCATCCAAAACAACCCATCGTTTTACGTTTGCTTTACAAGGGATTGTAGATTACTAAAACAGGTCAACCAACTGGGCAAAATGTATGTGTGTTCATCTTTTGCACAAGTTCTGCCCAAGAACGTGGTACCACCAAAGCAAAAGGCATCTCTCTCTCTCTCTCTTCGGATCACCTAGCCGCTAGCCAAACCATGTTGAATTGAAAGTAGTCTTGGACTTCTAGGGCATACCCCGCTGAAGACTCACATGCAGCCTGAAAACCACCTGGTTTGTAGAGGAAAACAGTCGGACTCAGCATTCTCTATTCTCAGGATCTGTGATGATCCATATGTGAGTTTTCGACCGAGATTTGCTCTATAATCCTCAACTTCTCCCACAATCGCCACCCACCCACCCGGCGCCCAGCCGCTTGATTTGGCGCGCCTTTCGTCCAGGACTGCGACGTCTGGCTGCGACGCAGTGGAAGGGCCGGGACCTGAAGGCGAGACAGCTGGTGCAAGAGTTAAGTCATTCACTGGTAGGGGCGGAGTTATGAATCAATACATATACCAGGACCCTCCAGGGGGTGTCCAATGCACTACCCCACACTACCTTTTCGCTTCCATTGGGCACCCCTTGGAGGGTCCTGGTACATTGAAAACGTCTGGCTGGTCCCACATGAAGATGGACCACCGGCACATCAATCTGAGAGGATGGAGGCTAATGTTTGTTTGTTTGAGCAGTCTGACGGACTCCATTTGACGGGGGTCCGGGAGAATGCCACATAATGACCAGGTTTAACGCCAGGTCCGACTGGACTTGTAGGGATCTACTGCATCACTTGACTGACTCACGAGCCGTTTGACTGACTCACGAGCTGTTTGATTCTTTTCATGGAACATATACAGAAAGGTCCAGCGAACGTGCGGAGAGTGTTGAGTGGGGTGTACACCCGTTCCTCAAAGAACTGCACGTGGTCCACACTGGATCAGTTGAGGACTTTGTGTCGCAAATGAATTGGAATCACCAAGCAAGTGAAGAACAAAAGGTGATCCACTCGGGGTAGGTGGCAAAATCATGAATACAAACCTTAGCCTATAAGCCAA